CCGGGAGGATGGGAGATGGCGACCTCTGGTGGTGAGAGGGAGAACACCAGACGCCAGCCCCTGACAGGACCCCTCCCCTAAGGAACGGCTTCCAGACGTTCCAGAGCGCCCCCCCCCCCCCCGGGGGAGCCCCCCCGGGGGGGGGGGGGGGGTCCTGCCCCCCCCCGACCCCCCCGGGATTTCCGCCTATGGGGTGTAGTTTTAAACTTATAGTATATGTAATGTAGGATGTAATGTAATATTTATGTAAGTGTAATATATAATGAGTGATGTTTTTGTACTGTGTAGATTAAATGTATTTGTTGGTGTTGAATGTTTTAAACATGGATACGGTTACGTGAGAAAAATTTCAGACTTGTCTGAGAATAAAGTACTTACAATCATTATCATTTTAAGATCCAATTCTCACTATTAACTCCTAATTACTGTTATTAATAGGTAGTAAATTAGTTGTTAAGTTTAGGTATTAGGTAGGATTAGGGATGTAGAATATGGTAATGCAGAATATGTGCTTTATAAGTACTAATAAACTGATATGCTAGTAATATGCATGCTAATATGCAGATTGTTAAAAGTGAGAATTGGTCACTATACTAAAGGGTTACCAATTAAAATAATTAAGTTGGTATGATCCACCAGTCATTTAAAAATATACAAAATAAAAGTGAAAATAAAGCACCATTTTGGGGTTACAGAAACAACAGTTACCGTGGTAAATACACAATACTAACATAAACTGTTAATGAAACATATGGAAACTGCTCCTGGTTAATAGAATAGACTATATTCTATAGATATAGATATAGATTCTATAGATATAGATTATATACTAATAGAATAGAGGATTTGCATAGCGGTGCATGCAAATCCTTCCTAGATAGTACGCTACGTAATTTATTGGTACTTTTTTGCAATTTCATAATTTACCAACATAACTATGAAGTTGCACGCTCATACTTTCTTTTTTACAGCGTGCACCACCGCATTCGCACAAGCACATTATAATGGCTGACAGGACAGGAAAGTTATTTTTCTGAGGTGAGAGAGACTTTATTTAGTAACAAGCTACAAAATAAAGTTGGAATAATGCCACTGACATACAGTCTGACCACATCTTATCTGACCACAGATACTGGATCAGGACAGTGCAAATATCTCTGGCTTTTCTCTCAGCTTTCACGCATGTCTTCAAAATAAAAGTCTCACATCATAAAAACAGTTGTTGTTTCTTTGACTGCACCAGTTGAGAAATACTGGGCTAGATGGCAGTAGTGCAATAAACTGCAGTGGGTTGCTATTTGGTGCCACCTATTGTTTCAGGTGTATAATTGACAAGTAAAAGTATAGACCCCGAATATCAATTCCAAGAAAAAAAAACTCTTATATTCAGAACAATACAGTATTTCTGAAAAATAATGTATTTTTAAGGAGAGGACGAGCCAGCTATTTGTGTTTGTGAATTTGTGTATTTGCAGTGTATGTTATGTAACGTTATTTTATTTGTATGCTTATATAATTTTTGTGTTTCTAGAACCCCCTCGAAAATGAGATGCTACATCTCAATGGGTTATCCTTTCAATCAATAAATTTAAATATTTACCCTTTATGGAAAAGAAACATGCCCATTCAGAGGAGAAATTTTGTAATATGTGATTTGTTATGTGAATTACAAGTATTTTCGTGTTCTTCAGCAAATGATCGTTGGTGTAATTGTGTGCATCTAAAATGAAACTCAAATATGAGTGATAGATGTGGTGTTGTGGGGTGGATGGGCCACCATTGCACAGATCCTGGAACTTCTGCTGGAGTAGAAAAACATCTTATAATGGCACATTCAGAGGATCTGTAACTCTAGATCAAAAGGGTGCATGCTGTGCTACTGGCGCATATATACAGTCTTAATGACCGAATCATGAACAACCCCAGTGACCAGCAACAGCCTAACAATGAATTCATTAAGTAGGCCTTGAGAGGACAAGAAAGCAAAAGAGTGAAAAAGAAACATAGGCCATACCTTGGTCGCCCATCATCAGGTGTGCCAGACCTTAAAGAAAAACAAGAGCACAATCAGCAAAGAATATGGGCCTGAGTAAACTGGGACCATGTAATCAACAATGCTAGAGAATGCGAATAGAAAAAGAAAAACATTACTTTTCTTTTGTCTTAAATATACTGTATGTAGTCACAATTTGACAGAGATAAAAAACTTGAATTGTATAAAAGCCACCCAAGATTGAGCATTATAGTGTTTTCCCCTAAGTAGCGGGTGTCAGTGACGAGCTGTGACATTTTTAACCGGGTATGCTGAGTGCTAAGATTAAGATCCCCCCTCCTCATCGGCTTTTAGGACGCACTCAGAGACGCAAACACTGTGGCAGGTGTCGATTTAAAAGTATGCACTTTTCCTACCTTATTTGTAAATGAAATTCATCTCCAATCCTTCTTCTAGGCTATCGTTTCAGGTTTATCCAAAGTTATTCGAATGCTAAAGTAAAAACTGCCAAATAACGTTTACATGTAGTTACGTTAAGGTACGTAATATTCAGAGGGTGGGGCGAAGGGGGATTGCCCCCTTCTATATACAGTGGGTACGGAAAGTACTTTCCGTACCCACTGTATATATGCATCAACTGAATGATTTATTTTTTTTAATTCCCAGTGAATAGGAGTTAAAACTCGCACCCGGGTGACACTACTTCAATAACAGACCATGCAAATGACAAAAATAATATCTTTAAAATATTGCCAAGTAATGTGGCAAACAACGATAAAACCAGACACAACGACACAACGACACAACCATATGGAAAACATAGATTAAAAATTAAATCTTCAGAATGTTCAAAATGTTCTGAGGATTTTGTTTCCTCTTTTTTCCTGATGTTTGTTATTTAAAATTGTATATACATTTTTATAATTTTATTTATTTTACCACTTAGGCATGTTGACAATAACATATATCTTCAACAGAACATGAAAATATAATATATATATATATATATATATTTTTTTTTTTTAAATTTGATTTAGTCGAGTTAGTTTTGCATCAAACAATGGAATTTTCGGCAATCAACAGTGCATTTTTCGACTTGGGCAAGCGCTTCGCAGACAGCTTACCTCGAGCATGAAATCACCTGCATGCCAGCAAAACACTGAGAACGCGCTACAGTCCTGACGAGTCATAGCTACAGAGCGGAGGAGACAAAGCTGCGGAGGATCCACTTGCCCGGAAGCTTCCGTAAATTATGTAGATTTACGGAAAATTACCATTGTTTGTCAAAGAAATAATTTTAAGTACTTATTCCCAACACTTTATTAAGCTTCAAGGAACATCTCAAATGACAAGGGATCAATTTATAATCATGTTTATGTGTGAACTCATTCTCTCAGACTGCCTGGCTATGCGGAGCACTCGCAGCTTATATGGACGTTCCGCCACTGGCGTGTGTTCTTATAAACGGTGCAATGCAGGACTCGCTTATCCTTGGAATGACCTTGAGTGGCTGAATGCTTTTTTAAAATGTGGATGCGAAAATATGCAAAAAGAAACCAATGCTCTTTTTTTGTAATCTATGAACTGTTTATAATTGCCAAGCAACATAGCAACTTGCAAAATGTACATATAATCTGCGGCACTGGTGTGTATTTATCAGAAGCGGCCTTGAACTTGAAACTGGATAACTATATTATCCAGTCAGAAAAAGTTCTGGATGAACACTCACAATTTCTTTCTCTTATTAGAAAGAAAAAAAACCGATATATTTCTACTTACAGTATCTGTCAGCTCCTTAAGCTTTTGCGTGGATCGGCATGATATTTTCATGAAAAAAAATTGTAAATTGCTGTGAAAAATGGTTACACCATGGTATCATATAATGAAGCACAACTTATTACTGCAATGCTGTGCAGTCCTGAGTCACTGACAGTAAACAGATGTCCTGTTCTACAAATATACAAAAATGTATGTTTTGTTCAAATACTTTAATGAGACCAGGCTGATGACTGTGGTGTAATTATGTCAGATTTTATGTTTAGTCAAAGATCTGGCTACATGAGTTATCTTCCTCCTTGTGCTCAAAGTGTCTCTGCCACCGCAAACAAAAATATGCTCTAGTTCACAGTGTGTATGAGAGTGTTTGATTTATCAGCAGCTCTCTCTGTTTCATTCTCTTTTCTGATAAACTGTTTTCTCCCCACAGGCGAAGGCAAGTCTCATCTTGATGGGGTGTCTTTTGAACCCAAAATCTGGTGATCTATGGCTGCAAGGGTCAGGCCAAACTTGCTTATTTAATACTTCTTTAGAGGTCCTGTAGGATCCTTTTAAGATTAAGATACTAAATTAATGTACATGAATTCTGCTTTCTTCAAATATAATTTGAAGCACTGAGTAAAAGATTTGCTATATAAATATATGTGTGTGTGTATATATATATATATATATATATATATGTCTGTATGTATGTATGTATATTTGTGTGTGTGTGTGTGTGTGTGTGTGTGTGTGTGTGTGTGTGTGTGTGTGTGTGCATAAAATTCATCTGAAATAGAGATGTTGAGTAAAGGTTGTACATAATATGATTTTTGATATCTAGAATTACAACACAGAGCAGAGCATCAAAGTAATTATTTTAGCAAAGAGATTTGTTTGTGTGAGATAGAGACAGACTCCCAAATCCTTTAATCTTTATATCTGATCAAAGTAATGTAAAAGCTTTTAAATTATTTAATGGAGAGTTCAAATTTCAAATAATAAGCAGCATTCTGCATTTTTTAGAATATATACTAGATAAACAGACAAGCAGTTCAATTCGTCATCATGTTTATTTATGTAAATATTGATCTAACTTACAGAATGTAATTTACTTCTTGAAAAGTAAAATAAAACCTCAAATCTTTACAACACAAAAAAGCACACAAAATTCCAGTATTATTATTATTATTTTTAATGAGCTTGAATCAAACCGTTTGAACACAAAATAGTCTACATCTAATACCATGTTGTGACATGATTAGGCAACAAGCAAGCAGACAAATTAATAAATAATGATTGTTTCTTTTTCTATGTACATCTGACAAGTGATAGTTTTGTGTATATTTTCATAGTGTGCTGTGTAATTTTATGTTCATTTTGCACAGACAAATTGCTTTAAACATGCTTGAATACTACAGTATACTAAACCCTTCTAGAAATTGTATTTTCACAGTATTAATAAATGGACAGTCAGTTCTGTGTAAACCAGGGGCAGGGGTAGCACTGGTTCATCAATTTAAAGCTTCCAGATTAAAGAATCTTTTCCCTCAATCCTGTCAATGGATCTGCTCAGCTCTCCATAGTCAATCACTGTTTCACTGTTACATTTATATTGAGCCTGCAACTTCACTGCCAAGCCATAAACTAACATACTCTCAGCTGTATTTGTTTGTATTTAGTGCTGGAAAATTTTATTCATTTTATTCTAGTGAATGTTCATTTCAGTTTAAAAAAAAAATGATTAAACAATTTGGTTAATAAAACCCTGTTTTTCAAGCATTAAAAAAGCCCTAATTAATATAATTCCTTCACTGGACCAAAAGAACTCACAAATCAACTGAATTCCTTTGAAACTGTACAGTGATTTTGAGTTGTTTGATCTCTTTATAATAAGACTCTGATTTCAATCTTTATGATATAAAGGTAAACAACAATAATGTTGATAGTCAACAGTACATGCATTCCCTACTCGGTTCTTTACACACACACAAAAGAAAAGAAAAGAAAAGAAAACATTAAAGATTCATTAGCTGTTAGTATATCATTACAAGCAAGAATGAAAGAAAGAAATCTGGTCAATATCGGTGAATGCATGTTAGGAGCATTTGAAACTCTGTCCATTGTACTGTAGAAATTAGTGCATAAATCATATTGTTATAATATAAACTATATTACCATTTTTCATCCATACTTCGCACTTCCATTGTCACTAGAATGGCTGTGCTACAAAAAATTTATAATAAAATTGGACTGGACTGGTTTTGTTGTGTTTTCCCTGCCCATGTGTTCCGTGTCCCAGTTAATTGACTCATTTCATGCACTTGTGTTCCCCTGATTGCCCTGTTTTTATAAGTCCCAGTCTGTTCTGTTTGTGTTTGTCTGGTCTACTCGTTACAAGGATAATTGCCGAGACATGCATTTTGACAGTTTCACATGTATGTGTCATTTCAGGTACAAATAGACTCGGAGATGAATGGAATACGGTGTTCACGTGCATCTGCGTGGTTCTCACTGTGTCTACACCGGACGTGAGTGGCGCAGCGCGATGTGATAAAATACAATACAACCCATTATAATCAGTGATGAGGTCTACACTGGATGCGACGCGGCATGACAAATCCCCGAGAGTAAATCCCTAGTTCTTTTTATGATGTACTGACACAAAGTTCAAATAATTTTGCTTTGTCGCGTCCAGTGTAGACAGCCTCTAGCTGTTGTGGTGCGGGGCGGCATGACACAACAGCTGTCATGAAAACTATCAGTATAAATATAACAATCAGTATACTAAACATAGCACATCCTGCGATGTGACTATCGTGGATGCGCAAATCACAATACGATATATCGTGTAGCCCTACCCTTGACTATGCATCATCCCTGAAGGCCCCGAGGTTTTCCACTAAGCTGCTTAAAGCTACATCAGCACTAGTGGGTAAAGCTTATACGGCAGCAGGTCAGGCTGGAACATGTCTGCACACTATAGCTGTATTCCAGGCATACCAAGCTGACCTGCTTAAGGACCTGAATGAGGGCGAGGAGACAGTTTCTGGCGCAGTTGTGTCGGGCCACAGATCTCTCTCCATGGTACCAAGGAGACGGCCAGGGCCATCGGTCGTTCTATGGCAGCCCTGGTAGCCACGGAGAGAGACATCTATGATTGAATCTGTCTGAGTTGCATGATAAGGACAGATTCTTCCTCCTGGATGCTCCGCTTTTACCTTCTGGAATCTTCGGCGATGCAAAAAACACTTGTCAACAAGAGGTTTCAAGAGGCGAGGAAGCAGACGGCAGCG